CATGCCCAAACAATGCTCTTATATTTTTCCCTAGTTGTTTGTCCAAGTTGCCACTTCTTATAAGCTTCCTTTTTGTGATTTAGTTTACTGAAGAGGACCCTGCTAAGCCAAGCTGGTCTTCTGACATACTTGTTAGTCTTCCTGTGCATTGGGATGGCTTGTTCCTACACTCTCAAAAAGGCTTCTTTCGAGTACAGCCAGCTCTCCTGGAGTCCTCTCTCCCCCTCAGACTGGCTTCCCAGGGGATCCTGCCCATCAGTTCCCTGAGGGAGTCAAAAGTCTGCTTTTCTGAAGTCCAGGGTCCTTACTCTACTGCTCTCCATCCTTTCTTTCCTCAGGATCCTCAACTCAGTCATCTCATGGTCACTGCTGCCCACATTGCCATGCACTATTATATCCCCCACCAATTCATCCCTGCTTGTGAGCAGCAGGTCAAGAAGAGCATGGCCCCTAGTTGGCTGCTCCAACACTTGCACCAGGAAGGTGTCCTCAATACTCTCCAAAACCTTCCTGGGTTGCCTGTGCACTGCTGTATTGCCCTTCCAGCAGATGTCTGGGAGATTTGAAGTCTTCTGTAAGAACCAGGGTCTGTGATCGGGGAAACTTCCTCTAGCTGTTTGAAGAAAGCCTCATCCACCGCTTCCTCCTGGTCTGGTGGTCTATAGCAGACCCCCACCACCACATCCCCCTTGTTGCTGTCTCCAGAGACTCCTAACAGACCTGTGTCCAGTTCCATACTTGAGCTCTAAGTAATCATAGCTTTTACATCAAGCACAACTCCTCCTCCTCTTCTCCCCTGTCTCTGCTTCCACAGCAGTTGATATCCAACCCATGACTGTGCTTCAGTCATGCTGGCTCCCACCAAGTCTGTTATTCTGGTAACACTGTAGCTCCGGGACTGCATGAGACTTCCCAGTTCCTCCCACTTGCATCCGAGGCTCTTAGCAGTCATGTGCAGGCACTGGCTGATTGCTCCTGTCTCAGGAAGAATGAGAAGAACTTACGGGGCTTTATGGGGGAGATAAGGGGGGCAGGGGGGGAGGGTATGGGGGGCATACAGGATTATTGTGGGCCGGCCAGGGGACCTGACCCTCCCTCTTC